CTCTTTCCTGGACACCAGACTGTTTCCCAGGCAAAATAGTAGAATGAGTAATTTAACTCTTTAGACAAAGCAAGATGGAAAAATAAATTACCTCCCCCTTAAATGGAGAATGTGACATTGGAATTGTGTGTGTTTTCTGAAATTGGCAGCCTTTTCCTTTTGTGTCAGTACTTTACGTGACTGTACTCTTTTTAGATTTGTCCTTCCTGTCATTTAAGAGTAGTTCTCAAAGGTCCAGTTAAACATCAAACTGAGGAAGAATTTGTCCAAATTCAGATTTTTTTGGCTTCATCATCCAAAAAACTAAAATTCCATAGTTCTGGACCCCAGGAATTTGCATTTTTAATAAGCTCCCCAGATGAATCTAATTAGACTCTGACTGCAAAATCAGTGATCTAATACTCCTCAATTTTCTTTCTCCACAACGAATACCAGGGGCACTACAGCTTTCCACAACATTAAGGAGAGTTTTTGTTTTGATGGATACTGGAAGTTTGGAATGCGAGGACTTTTTGTAATATGAACTCTTCTCTGCCTCCTGCCAAAATAAAATATTGTTTTCTGCCCCATGTTGTGAAAGGATGCTTATGTACATTACACATTGAATAGTATTTTGAATTAACTGAAATATTTATATTTCAGAGTTTCTTCTTTAACCGAATGCTGAAAGTGTAATGCATTTTGTTATTTTGTATGTTGAATTGTTACCATAGAATGGTTGTCCATTCATGTCCCTGGATTGCATATCTCCAGATCAGATTAAAAAATGTAGTGGTGACAAAGATGGTTTCATCTGTATTGAATAGATGCAGATTATTTTTGTGTTCATTATTCTCTAAGGAATACAGAGTAACAACTACAAGTATCTGTATAGCTTTTACACTGTGTTAGGTGTTGGAAGTTATCTAGAGATGATTTAAAGTTTGTAGGAGGATGTGCGTTGATTACGTGCAAATTCTACGTACTACCTCATTCTAGAAGAGACGTTAGCATATATAGACTTCGGTATTTGCAGAGTATCCTGTTCTCAATCCCCCGCAGATACCAAAGGACAACTGTATTGTGCTTATGTTTATTATACTAATATCCTCTGAATCCCAAAATCATTCTGAATTGACGAACCAATAGCCCAATGAGCTTCTAATTAGAAAAAGAAAATTCCTTATGAGTCCAAAGAATACTTTTTAATCTCGAAAATATTCAACACTCAAGATGTTTCTGTTATATGTAAATAATGCTGCAATCATGCATGCTAATGGTACCAACACATCATTAGAAGCATGAGAAGGACGTTTTTTAAGTATTTTAAAATAGAAATCTTCAAATACTTAAAGTTAGGATTCCCATTTCACCTGTCCTCATTATATTGACCTTACTAATGAATAGGAATTCTGGGTATGGGGATGTCTTCACACCTACTGTGTCTTCTTCACCAGTCTAACAAAAAAAGCAAAACCAAGCCTCCCGAAGTTTAAGATGCATTTTATAGAAATGTTTTTTAAAACCCAACTTCAGTTTTGTTTTTAATTCTAAATGATACATGAATGAGCTTTTAATAGCAGGAAACTTTTCATCACAAAAATCAATACAGATTAGGAGATTATCTCCTGACTTTCACGGCTAAGAGTTCATTTATATAGAATAATTTCATATTTGGGCACTACTTCTTCTAGGTATTTTTAACCCAAACAAAGACCCTCCCAGGAGCAACCCATGTTGTCCGCTCTCCCCTTCTGGACCCCCCGGGAGAGTGATGGGTGTCATTCAACTGCTGCCTTATTAGCCTTCCCTTTGGAATGGCGGCCCAGAGAAAATGCATTTTTTGGCTTAAAAACAAACCAACAAGCAAAAAAGCTATAATGAGGAAGGGGCACATGTGGTCTGGCACTTTGTGGTAGATTCATTAGCTAGAACTTCTTCGCCTGCCACACATATTTAAATAGTGATGGGGGAAGGAGAGAAAGAAAGAAAGAGCAAAGAATGTAGCAGCTGGGAAATTTGGGTTTTTTTCTTTCGTGCAGACACGTCAGAGACCATCAGAACACTGAGGAGCAAATGTCTTATTACGCCAGCCCCTCTTACTCTAAGCAGATTTAGATTGGTCCCTAAAAACTACATTGTCATGTATTACGTAAGTGATGAATGAGTGTGAGAAAATTTATGTTGGGAAGGAACACACATACGCCTGTTATTCTTAGGGCTTGAAGTGGGGAAATACAGGCCTAGTGTTTCTATATAGGATACTGAGAGTGACCCTATTGAATATTTTTACACTATGCTGTATAATTAATTACCAATATGTGTGCTTCATGTAAAAATCTGCTTTCAAGTGAATGAAGGACTTACAAGCTCTATCTATTTTAAAAAGTAGTATTGAAAAATCTATGTGAAAAGAATGCCCTAAACTTATTAGCTTAAGCAAAAAAATAAATAAATAAATATTCTCTTGCCCAAAGAGCTAACTCAATAATTTTATTAGGTTATCAAAACAGGAGTCTCAAAATCAAAGCTACCTCACAAATAGTTTAAAGAAAAAAAAAAACTTCATTTATCTTGTTTAGTTAAAACCATAATGTAATTAGTTTTTTTTTAATGAACAAAACACTTAAAAATATTTGCTCAGTAAAAACCACAACAACTTATTTACGTATCTTACCAGCCACAATTCGTTAAATTTTGATTACTATTTTAATGATACATTGATATAATTGATGTTCTTAATATGTCATAGGAGATGGGCTTTAGCAAATGCACTCATTTAGCCGATAAAATTACAGTTGTGTTATTGTTTTTATTTCTCAATGATATTTGGATGAGCTTTTAATAGAGGAATAGCTCTTTATGTAGAAATAAAAATAGTATACTGAAAACAGACACGATAATATGATGTTATCATTGTTAAACATGATTATCGACAGAAATAAAATATAGTATTTGTGACCTGGAAAATAAATATTATTTAAAAGTGTTCTGTCTTTATCTATGAGATATGGCCTCAAGTACGTACTCAAAGATACTTAAAATGAACATCAAAAAAGTCTTTATATTTCTTATTACTCAATACATATTTTGACATTTTCATAGATGACTGACATAAATTTTTATGTACTGTTATTTATGGGTAAAAATTATAATACCAATGATATGTTTTCATTGGTTTTATGAGATTATTTTCTTTTTGAAAAGGCAATCTATAGTCAGAGTATTTTAGTGTCTAAATAAACTTAACAGAGAATCCAAAGATTAATTTTCCTATTTTCTTTTTTCTTTTCTTTTTTTTTTTTTTTTTTTTTGAGACAGAGCCTCAAGCTGTCACCCTGGGTAGAGTGCTATGGCTTCACAGCTCACAGCAAGCTCCAACTCTGGGCTCAAGCTAGTCTCCTGCCTCTGCCTCCCAAGTAGCTGGGACCACAGGCGCCCACGACAACACCCGGCTACTTTTTGGTTGCAGCCATCATTGTTGTTTTGGCGGGCCGGGCTGGATTCGAACCTGCCACCTTAGGTGTATGTGGCTGGCGCCTTAGCCACCTGAGCCACAGGCGCCAAGCCAATTTTCCTATTTTCTATCACAAAATATTTCATTCAAAATATCTTCTCTACCTACTACATTATTTTTTTCTACTCAAACTATGTCATAAATGGTATAACTTTGAGAGTTAGTAATTAATAGTTGACATTTTTCGAGGCAATGCCATCGTTTTAAAAACTGGGGAAATGTCTTAGAGCTCTAAAATTTTAATTTCACCTATATTTTAAAATATTACATTGAATGAATCTAAATTACCTAATTTAAAATGTTTGTGAATTAATAAAGGAAAAAATGACAAAATGCTTTTTCTTTTTCTTTCCTTTCTTTTTTAAAATATATTTTTTAAATATGTGTCTTTTGCCCTACAAATAAAAGTTTACAAATAATATTTGTGAGTCAAAGTTTAAAAATATTAACTTAGGAGGAAAAAATACAAAGAATGAATAAAACATGAGTGGATTTCAAACGTCTTGTCTTATACCTTATAATGAGGAAAAATTATTTTCAATTTCACTGTCTAAAAAGCATACTCAAGAGTAGTTTGAAGACTTTTTGAACTAAAATCTAAAATGTATTGCTTAATTTTATTCATCAGATAAAATGATTCAAAAGTGCTACCAGAGTAAAGAAAAAATTTATTTTGCACCTCCAAGAAACATCATTTATGGACGAGTCCCTACAGAGTAGATCCCTCCATTCTATATGGGAGTCTCAGGACTGTGTAGCAAGTTGAAGTCAGAAAAGGATTTAGGGAAGAAAAAATTTAACAAGGGCCAGCGATGTGGCGCATTGAGGCCCTTCATTGCCCTCTTACTACTTCACCTCCATGTATTTACACAGCACCCTTCCATAAAGAATTTCAGGATTGTATTACACCTCCATCGAAGCTCTCTATTTCTTCACCGTGGGGATGTAAATTTGACATCTGTCTTGTTTTAAGAGCACCAAAATAAATCCGATTCAGAGCTTTCTCAAGTTACACATTTAAGCAATGGAAACGGGCAACAAACCTTCAGAGTTCTTTTCTCTAACTTTTCTCTATTATTAAATGAAATCAGTTATAAAATTGGCTGTGCATTCTTAACGTTGTGTTCTTGTAGAGGCACTGGGAATGTATGGATAGTTTCCATGATATTTATTTGCCTGAGTTGAACCCTCACTCCCTAACAAAATCTTTAAGAGCTGCTGTCATTATTCCTGGATGGCTTTTCTCCAAAGAGTGTGACACATATAAAAGCTTTATTCCACCTCAACAAAAACGTCGTATCTCGAGAACTCAACTCCTCCTACAGATGCTAACTCCGAGCCCCCTTTAAAAGTATTTCAGACTCCATCTTTAGATAAGCAAACACATTTTTGTCTTTTTAGAAATAAATTCCCAATGGAGTGTATTGCCTTTTAGGTATGGTTACTTATTTGAATCTTCTACCCCCATTTCGAAGTCTGATTTCAGTCCTGTTCCATTTTAATTTCACTGCATCTGGTCCTTGCCCACCATCCTCTCAGAACCTCTGGCCGCCCGCTGCTCTGCGCGTTTACCTTGCTGCTCACGCTTCGGCGCAGCTGCCCTCTCTCTGGCCTCCTTCTCCTTGGCTTTAGTTGGGGGTTTCTGTCCTTCTTTTACTTTTGCAGCTGTTTGCTTCGCTTTCTCCGGCTTCCCTCCTTTTACTTCCTTTTTCGTCTTTTCTTCAGTCTTTTCTTCAAACTTCGCTTTCTTCTCTTCTGTACAGAGTTAAGAAACATTCGATTATTTTTGTTTCGTTAGCAATAGAATATTTCATCTGTAACTGTCATTAAGAAAAATGGGGAAAGAACTATAGAAAAATAGTGTTCCTTATGCAAACGCCATAAATCCTTGAGACTGTTACTTTGCTTTTATCGTTTATGATGTGTGATTTTTAATTACTCAAAATAGCTCATTTGCAAATTCTGACTCTTAATCTGTGCATGAAAATATTGTTTTTGAGGTAATCAGGAACTTAACATGTCATAAAAGGTATTTGTAATATGCATGGGATAGATAGACAGGCATGTTTGGTAAAAAAAACGATGTTTATACCAAGGAACCCAGGGATCATTTTGTTCCACAACTGAAAAATATCTGGGGTCATTCAAGAAACTGAAATAGCAACACGATATATGCATTTTTTAAGATAACTGTTAGGAATAGGAAGGTAAAATTATCAGCCTTGGTATTGACTAATAGAAATAATAAAGTCTATTAAAGGATAACTGAAAGATACACAATCTCTAATGACTTGGCTTTAAAGAGGTTGGAAGAATGCACATTAGTCTATTGGCTTCTGCTTATCTCACTTCAAAAGATAATTTTAATATGCTTCTGATATATTTTTTTCTTTAGACAAAGTCTCCCTCTGCTACCTAGACTGGACTGCAGTGATGCAATCATACTCTCTGGAGTCTCAAAATCCTGGGCTCAGACAATCCTTTCACCTCAGCCTCCCAAGTACTAGGAATACATACAGGTGCACACCACCATGCCTGGCTAAATATGTTATGTTTTAGAGATTCAGGCTTCAGTATGTTTACCAGGCTGAAACATACTGTCCTCAAGCAAGCCTCGCTCCTCATTCTCCCAAAGAGGTGGTAGTACTAGCATGAGCCACCACCCTGGACCTCTTTGATGGTTTTTAAAGCCCTTCAATATATGATAGGAATTAGAAAGGGGTATCAATCATAGTATGTAAGATTATAAATGAGTTAGAATACATATAATTTGTATACATATATTTTGAATTTGATATTAAGAATATTTGAGGATGAGATGAATCGGTCTATGTATTATTCAGTATTTTTTAAAAGCAATAATAATAGAGCACAGATTTATAGAAAATTGTTCATAATATATGCTGTATATGGGAGATTATTTATTGTATGGGACCACACACTAGACTGTGTGCAGCCTTTATTATGACTCATGTAAAGAGTTTGATGAAAATAATATTATCAATTTTCTTGATTTTGGTTTACTAAGCAAAGTTTTGAGACTAAGCCAAGATAATATTCGGAGGTCCCACTGAGACTAGAATGAAACTGACAATGTCAGCCGCTGGTTAGCTTGCTATACCAACATTATCTGGGTTAGCTACTCCATTCAATGGACTTGACCAACACCTACAAAACATCACTTCTTAGAAACTTTATAGGGATAACTGTGTTAGGAGTTGGATCATTTCTATGACCAAAGACATTTGGAAACACTAAGTTAAACTGTTTTTTTTTTTTTTTTACCTTGAAATTGCTCAGAGCTACAGGGTACTGAGAATTATCCAGAATGGGCATTATTCTACACGCTATCCAAAGTAATTGAACCACAGAATTCTCATACAAATATCACCCAGTTGCTCCATAAACTGCTGATGTCTGTGTGGCTTCTGTTGACTACACTCAGGGGATTTTCTTCTACTTCTCAGGAACGATTTCTGTATCTCCCTTGCCGGTTTTTGCTCGTTCCTGCAGCAAACTCATACATTTCTGTAACTGAAACCATCCTCAATCTGTGGATGATTTTAAATTGATATCATTCTAGGACCCTCTACTAAAATGCTTATGAGTATCTGTTTGGAAAGAAAGTTCTACTGGGATGGCCAATGGCACTCCAAAATCATACAACTCACCCAAAAATCCCTTTCAGAGAGCCCGTCTTGGCCTGGGCTTGCAGCTAAAGAACGTGCTGTGAGTCCTAAAGACCAGCATGTTAATATAACACCTGAAGAAATTTAGTGTAGCACTTAAACCCCTGCAACACCTGGCCTCATCCTATCCCTTCACTCACAGCCTCTTTCCAAAAGCCTCTTCCTCCTCTGGACTATCTCTGTCCTCTTGAATAGCTCATGTATTTTCCAGTGTCAAACCTGGTCACGCTGCATTCTCTATATTTCCCATGTTCTCCTCATTTATAAATTTCTTCCTGTTCAACTCACAGACAAAATGGCTCTGCATTGGAATTAATCATTTCTTCCCCTGAACTTCCATTTGCCTGAACTTTTAATAAAGTGCACATCTTATTCCCTATAATATATCTTGCATTACAAATGGTTGTTTATCTATCTTCCTTACCAAACTGAGTGCAACTGAAGGATAGGAACTCTCTTAATTCATTTTTGTAGCACCACAGAGCCTAGCACAAAGCTTTTTTTCAGAGAAAACACAGAATAAATACATTTGCATTAGCAATTTTGATTCACAGGTGAATAACCGTTTTCCTATACCCAGACCCTGGTACAATAAAGTGATATGCAGATTGTATACGTAAAGATGTGTTTAGAAATAAACATGTCAAAATGTATTACACATGCTATATTTTTTGTTTATACTATGTTGTGTCCAATTGTTAGTTTTGCTTCCCCTAAATGACACCTATCTACTTCTCGTAAATTGCAGCTGATTTACCCTTACTTTCATACTATGGAATTAAAGATGTGTGAAATTCAGGCCTATTTCGAATGTCAGTATAATTTATAAATGGGCAAAGATGATTTTTCTAAAGGCAAGACTGTGGTGAGTTGTGACTCATTATAAACACTAATTGGAGGTGCAAAAATAATAAAACTTTCCCTACTTAATTTTAACATTTGTCAGTGACCTTCATTCTTGAAGCAGATAACTGTGCCTCCTATTAGAAAAAAATGAATAAGAATTCAACGACGATGTGGCTATGATAAAGAAAATATCATGAAACTATAGCAACATGCCACTGTTTATTTATATCAAATTGGGTAGATACTCTTAAATTTTGTGCAAAATACTTTTCCTGATTTTTCTCAAAATAAATTTGTGTGACATTTATATTTAGGAGTTCATTAAGGATTGGAAAAGCAAGAAGTATTGCCATGTTGTATACAAATCACACAGTTTTCTTTAAGAAGACTGATTCATGATTTTGTCTAATGGAAAACAAGATCGTCTAATCAAAAGAATGATGTCAGCATATTTGGTCCATTTTTGGAATGAGCACAACCCATGAGTGACTGTGTCAGAATGCAAATGTCTATCACAACGCAGGACAACGGCATTACTCAATAACCATAATAACATACTCTACACTTTAGAGTTAGGAAATAACAAATTTCATCTTTCATTTATTAAAGCATGGAAAAATGCTTAGTTTCTCTGTGCCTCCCTCAGATTCTCTGCCTTAAAAAACAAATCACCACTGTAGCTGCCTCTTCCTCTAAAGAAGCTGTGGAGATAAGCAACAGTAAGCAAAAAAAAAAAAAAAAAAAAAAAAACAACTTTGAACTCTGCAAAAGAAGTGCATAGTAATTTCTAATATTAAATCTGCATATGTTGTATTCGTAGAGCTCTTGGAGTTTTCCTAGAACTTACCCAGAGTTACACGTGTAGCAAGAATTAGTGTATCATACTCACTTTACATCCGAAGAATCTAAGGATCGAAAAGCCATTTGTCAAAGATAGTACAGTTAGATGAGTCAGGAGTAGATACAGTAGAACCAGAAGGCCTAATCCATTTTCTAATATTTGCTTAATATTACTAATATTAACCTATGAAGGTGATATCAAAATGTCTTTTAAGACAAACAAGAGCACATATAAATACACAGGAACTAAGTAAAAGCATTAAAATGTCTTCCTAAAAGTGATCAGGATGGTATTAATCTACGCACTTCATCAAACACACAGACACTGGAAGATTGTTAGTTTCATGACAGACAGCCTGGCCCAACTTGGCTCACCTCCTTCAATCTCTCTCTCCATCCTTCACTTCTCCTTCCATGTCTTTGCAATTTTTAATGAACTACAGAAACAGGCCAGTTTTCCCAGTGGATATAGCCTTCTACACAGGGTTCATGGTAGACACTGAAATATCCATTTTGTCCAGGGGGCAGTGCAGAAGTCCTGAACTGGTCCAACCAATCTCTGCCCCTAAGCAAGCAGTGCTTGCAACAGTGGGAAAACTTGCTGATTTCCTCTAGAAATCAGAAGACTTTAGGGGGAGATTCTATTTTAATACTAGTCATACTTTTCAAAGGTATTTTATCTTCATTTTTAGTTCAAGCATCACATAATACTTTATGCCCTTTTTATCTTATTTTATTGCTCCAGAAATTACCCATAATGTGAAGAGCACTTTTTATAAATTTCCTATTCTTAATATATGGACATATAAAATAAAAAATGAAAATTATATATGTATACAAACATAAACATACATATATGTATATAGATATATTTTAAACAAACATATATATACATACATATACATGTGTTTATGCACGTATATATGGCATATATGTATAGCTTAAATCTATCTCCCCAGAACATAAATATGTAAATACTAACTATTTTGGCAGGGAGATTCAAGATGGCCTCTAACATTTCCTGCCTCTGGTATTCATACTGTGTAATCCTCTTCCCTTGTATATGGGTTGGAGCTGGAATTTGCTGCTAACCAATACAATATGGCAAAGGTACTTGGATGTGACTTTGCTGATGAGTCTGCCTAAGATTGTGATTTCTGTCTCACTAAACGTTTCTCTCTCGTTAAGTTTGATGAGGCTAAACTGTGTCAGTGAGACTCACGTGGCAAGAAACTAAGAATGGCCTCCAGCCAACAAACAGCAAGGAACTGAGGTCTTCATTTAAACACCCTTGAAGAACTGAAACTTGCCAACAACTTGGAAATGATGCTTTCTCAGTTGAACCTTTGAATGAGACTGCAGCCCTGGCTAACGTGTAGATGCAGCCTCCTGAGACTGGGAAGCATAGGACCGAGATGAACACAGATTCTGGATCCACAGAAATGGGAGAGAATAAACATGTGTTGATTTAAGCCTCAAAGTTTGTGATAATGGTGTACACAGCAAAAAATAACTAATGCAGTATTCCACAAAATGTTTTAGAGGGAATAAATGATACTAGAACAACTATACTTAATTAATTTGTAAAAATTACTAAATTTATACCCATTTCACCTGTGTTTTTTTCTTAATCTAATCACATACCCCTTATAGGACCAGCCCAATTATTTGCTGCCTCTGCAAGTCAGATAATTAATCTGAATTATTTCTAAAGTCCCTGCTATATTTCTAGATATGTGATATATGATTTCATATATATAATGAAAATAAATTATATATATGAAATTCATTTTATCCACATTTATGAAATAGAAGAGAATTACATATGATAAAATGGCTTTTATCAAGTTTAATTTAAAGACCAAATTCATGCTACCTTCTAGGAAACAAAAATCTCAATTTGTAATTCATCCAATGTACCTTCAATATAATACTTAGTTATCTCAGGAAAACTTTAGTTTAAAAATATATCTGCCTCAAATATCTAAATGCTTTATATTTTAAAAATAAACTGAATTTTAAAAGTGGATTTTAATTTTTACCTAAATGAATAGTTTCTTGAAAACATTAGATGAAGATTTTTAAACTATATTGACCACATAAGACCTATTGAAAGCTGAAGAAGACATTTAAATTTGGGAGGTAAGATTGAACCATCGGTTAAAATCCATGTTTTCCAAAAATTGGTAGTACAGGAAACTTTGTTTCCTCCCAAATACATAATATTACAGCCTATTCTGATTACATTTTTGTATAATCATTACAATATTTTTGGTTTTCAAAGTCTTAAATTATTGATCAAGATGCATGGCCCTTTCTTTTTGATAAAAGCAAACCTTGCATTTGAATCTTCTAAAATCAAACTCAAAGTATAATACTGTTCAAAACTGTGTTAATTTTCTCTTGCTGTGGTAGCAAATAATCATGAACTTGGCTCCTTATTATCTCTTAGTTTTCATGATTCAGAAGTCTCAGTATGGCTCAACTGGGTTCTCCAGAACCCACAAGACTACAAGTAGGCTGTCGGCAGGGTTGTGCTCCTTACTGGAGGCTCTGGGGAAGAATTGGCTTTCATGTTCACGTAACATGGAGGCAGAATTCATTTCCTTCTCACGTTTTACATGTGGATCCCACAATTTTCAAACCAGCCAAAGGAGGGCAAGTCTACACACTTCAAATCTCTCTCTTCAGCTGAATCTCTCTGCTTTGAAAGATTCATGATACTGCTTTTAACCCACTTGAATGATGCAGTGGTCTGTCCCTATTTCAGTTCCACCATAACTCCCCGTGCAAAATTCTTTTTGTTATGTCTTGTAACATAGCCAGAGGGAAAACATCAAGAGGGCATGGAAACCAAAACTTCACCCGTATATGCAGTACAGAGAGGCCCTTCAATTCCCTCTCACATTGTGAGATTCTCATTTTTTTAAGTATTCAATTTTATTATTCTTTTAGATATGAAATTTTAAGTATATCCAAATTTGTTTGTGTGTGTAATGGAATTCTGAATACTTATCCAAATTATTTTTTTGTGTAATGGAATTCTGAATACTTACAAATATGTAGTTATCTTTTACCCAAAATGTAATCTTCAATGTAAAAAGAAGAGTTATAGAAATAAAGGGGAAAATTACCTTTTGCCACTGTCTTTGTTTCTGGTTTTTCTTTTTTCTCAGTTTTATCCCTGTGAGTTGCTTAAACAGAAAGTTTTACGTAAGTACACATTTTTAGTAGATTTCAAAAACAAGTTTCTTATGACTTCAGTTTTACAGATACTAAAGTTAAATGATACTTTGAAGATTTCTTACATTAGTGATCCTAACTCAAAAATAGAGTTACCACTGTAAGAACAGATGTATAGAATTCAATGTCAAAGACTTGACATTTTAAGACGTAATGCCTAAGAAAGCGTTTTGGAAGCTAGATCCACCCTCCTTTTATATACCATTATTCCAGGCTGATAAAGCTTTCTGGGAGACAAACTGAGAGGGAAAAAATGTATAAGAATTTGTCAAAATATATATCATTGTATCAAGAAGATCTATATTTAGGATTAACAAAGAGAAATATTTAAATCAGGACTAAGGATTTTATTGTTTTACAACAATGACCCAATTGGCTCGGCGCCTGTGGCTCAAGTGGCTAAGGTGCCAGCCATATACACCTAAGGTGGCAGGTTCAAATCCAGCCCGGGCCCGCCAAACAACAATGATGGCTGCAACCAAAAAATAGCCGGGCATTGTGGCGGGCACCGGTAGTCCCAGCTACTCGGGAGGCTGAGAAAGGAGGCTCACTTGAACCCAGGAGTTGGAGGTTGCTGTGAGCTGTGAAGCCATGGCACTCTACCCAGGGGGATAGCTTGAGGCTCTGTCTCAAAAAAAAAAAAAAAAAAAAAA